TTAATCCTAAAATTAAACCTCATAAATGCTTCAGTTTTAACACTCTCAAACTACTGAGCCCAACTAGATCAATTTGTATAGATGATGCTTTTCAGTTTTTGTACATTATATTATCATCTTTTTAAAGTATTGTAATATTGACATACAATTTCCATAAAACTACAATATAAAGCAATAAAATACATAATTACTGACAACCAGCATGAATTAGATTTAATTAAATGAAAAACAAACATTTTTCTCTTCTTTTTATGAGTTCTAAGATGGCTTTACTCTTCCGCTAGACTTATTACACCATCATTCAGAAACAGGACAAGCTTTAGAAAATCACATTTAATTTCCTAAAGAATGCATTTCTGACTTCGAGTCCCTTATCAACTCTTTGTGATGTAACTGTTTAGAAAATAATGCGTACAAGTTAACATAAAATTTTTAGCACTGTTACAAAATTCGTAAAAATTTTTTAACTTACATGGTTGTGAGAAGCACAGAGATGGTGACAATTGATAAAATACAGATGACCATTATTATTTTACAGGTATTTGCTATAAAAATAGTAGAATGTTAATGATTTACGAGAACAATATATATGACATAGATGTAAAAGTTTTGAACTTACATTAGATAGCAGGATATTTCCTTATAGATTCTTGTCAGAATTTATAAGGAAATATCCTGCTTTATGAGTAACAGGATCACTTACAGGAACCTCCTACTGTTTTTTCTAGTATTAGAAACAATAAGAACCAATTGGAGAGAAATTACATTCCAGGGGAGGCTGCTGAGATGGTTTGGGCACGTGGAGCATATGAGCAATGAACGACTGTTAAAGCACGTCTATGTTGGTGAGGAATGTGGCAAGCATCTTAGGTGCAACCCTCCAAAGAGGTGGACAGATGGTGTGCGAGATGCTTTGATTGCAAAGAATATTCTGAGCAAGTGTGGTTAAAGTCAGCATAAATGTGTACAAAAAGCCTCAATGAACATGGAAGAAGTGAGAAATGTATGTTTAGATTGAACAGTGTGGAACAGCTCATTCACTACCAACCCAAAAGGGAAAAGGCATGAAAATATGTATGTATGTATGAGTTTATACTATCCCTGTACATGATCATAGGGTGAACAGTCCATGTGAATTTATTGAAGCTATTGCTTATGGTCTAAAACTGAGGATCAAGGAGCATAAATACACAATTCAGAAGGGTCTTTTCACTACCACATTAGCTTCTTTGCTGTTGATAATGACGTGCAAGTTAAATTTGAAGATGCCCAGTTACTACAATGCAATGATGACCCAGCCAACCTGAAAGGTTTTATATTAATATTCAAAGCATTTAAAATAGGGACAGCAATTAATTTTAAGGAAATGGACTCACTCTAGCAACTGTGTGGGGGGCATGCTTTGACTTACCATAGGTCTTGTTTTAAATATATAATATATAAAATCAAATATATACAATATTATATTATATACAATATATAAAATCCAAATTAAGTTTGGATTTTATATATTGTATAAACTACATATTTTTTAAAATTGTTATCCAGTTTGAAGGACCTTGTTAAATGTGACATTGAGCATGTGCATATTTTTAAAAGTGTTAGTTATTAAAAAAAAACAAATTTTTAATAACTAACACTTTTGCCTTTATTAAAAGGTCTTCATCAGAAAACCTTTCATTGAATATAAAAAACATTTATAGAAAGTCTACTGATTGAACATAATATACAAATTTGGAAAATATAGAATATTAGAATGATCTTTGAACAGAATATTTAAAATTTAAATTTTTAATAGATTCATAAAATACTTTAGTTACTGAAATTTTTCATATTTTTAATTATTATTAAGATAAATTATTTTAAAACAATGAATAGAATCTTCTTGGTAAGAATTTTATAGCATATTTGATAAGTTTTTTTATAACAATAATTATTATATAAACTTACTGAACAGTTTAATTCTTAACTTTTCACTTATTAATAGGTAAACAAGTTAAAGAATATTGTAAAAATTAAATTATAACAAGTAGGATAAATTAAAATTAATACATGTAATATCTGTAAAGAGTTACAAGATGTTAATTGAAAACATCTATTTTAGAAAAATATTTGGCAACAAACTTTCATTTATTACGAGAGCAGTTTGATATAAACTGAACTTGAATTAGTAACCTCTAGAGCGACTAGACCAAGCAGATAGGCTACGTCNTTCACTCTCTCTAGCATTGTTGGCAGCAAAATGGTATAGTATTTGGCATATGTTGTCTTTAATAATTTGCCCCAGTGTTAAGTAAAAATACATTTTTTTCTGGAATGTTTTTTGCACTCGTGACATTAAGAAGCGTGCTGTCCGCAACGAAACGAAAGTTTGGCACGAATCTAATTACGTAAATACAAGAACAATGTGTAAAAATTGTTTAAAAAATTCAATTATCGTGTTAAGTCTGGTGGTTGGATAGATTCCAATTAATTAAGAATTGTTTACGTTGGCTTTTTCGATACGTCATCACCCGTTTCGGGTCGGACGATTTGGCCTTCCTCTACCTCCGTTCGACCGAAGTTCCCTTTCGAAACACGTGATTAAATATAATTTTAGAGGTTTCGAAAGTAAATCTACACAAGAATATTTGACAATTTCACTTTTCTAAATAAAATGCAACTGACAATACTTTTTCCTACTACTTTAATGTCATGATATAAACCCACTTCGACCTTCTGAGTGAGCTTCTATCATTCAATCTCTCGACATTTCACGTTCAATCATATTATTTGTTAAAATTTACGCTCATCAATTGTAAAATGAAGCTATCAGATAATAAAAAACAATTAAAATTCTTTTGTTTAGAAGTGTCACCAAACCTCGACATACCCTTTTGTTTTGCTCGCATTACCATACTCAAAGTTAACTGTGGCTATTTATAACAATCGTTTTATCAATAATGAATAAGGTTATCAAATTAACATTATCTAAAGTATAAGCATAAGTTTTGAACATATAATTTTTTCAGACAATTATGTAATTTATCGTCTCAAAACTTGGGTTTCTATACCGATATATCCTTTTAAAAAGCTGAATTAAAGAACAACAAGCCTCAATATTATAAAGAAATATAAATAGTTTATTCACATATTGTTATAAAATGTCTGAAGTAGCCTGAGAGACTTTACCAATACCAAACACTTCTTTTATAAAATAGAAGTCGACTGTCTTCTGTTGTAATGCATCATGTAAGATCAATGATTAGTTGTTACTGGTAGCAGGCAGCACTTACTTGACTCAAAAATATCCCTGTGTTTTAGAGAGACTCCTCTATAAAAATCCACAAACATGGGATTTCGTTTACAGAAGTGTTAAACATTCGAGAATCGTGTCCGCAATACACGAGAAATGAATTTTTACATATTGTAATCCCCATAGAATTCAAGCGAAACGGCACGAAAGTGAAACCATTTGCATGGTCGTACTAAACTTCATCTTATCAAACTTCAAATGTTAAGATTTTAACAGGAAATAAGCTTTTATATAGATAATCATTAGAGATACATGTGAGAATCTCACGTATAAATCAAATTTTATTATCACAAACATTTTTCCACATTAGAAGAGGGGATAGAAGTGGGAAAAAGCGTCGTTCAATGTCCTATTATCGAAAATCCAATAGGGAGGAACTGTCGCGACACGGGCCATAGGAGACAATATCCAGTCGACTGAAACGTTGATAAATTTAGAAATAACTTCATTCGATAAGCTTAAACTTATATAATTTATTGTATAATGATTACAGTTAATCATAAATATTAAGATTTTAAGAGTCTTCCTGAAAAATAACTCCGAAAAATGGCATCAAGACAAGATTTAGACTTTATGACTAATCTAAAAAGTTCTTCCTCTCCATAAAATAATAATAGGTAATTTTAAAAAATCTGTAGATAAATTCAGTCTTGATATTTAAATCCATTAGCATCACATCAAAAGAAGTAAATGTCCGTTTTCATACAAAATGGAGTCCGAAAGGGAAGAACTTCTTTGCAACGTTAACTTTTTATAATCAGATCAAGTCGTAAAAATTTGAAGCTTCTAGAAGTATATATAAATTCAAAAATTAAAAATTAATAGAATAAACAGACTTGAAAAGAAAATAGCCATTTTAAACTTATTTTTTAATTTAAATAAATAAATATATATTTTTTTCTGTATAAATATCCAAACGTTACGTTTTGAAGTTTTCTATATATTTAATTACAAACGTAATTATAATATAATTTTACATCATTTTGGCTTTATTTAATTTACTTTTTAGCCACGTAACAATTTTTTGGTCGTGTACTTAGAAGCAAAGCTAAGAGAGTTTAAAGAATAAGAGCAATCGTTCCGCTGATTGGTTAAAATTTATATTATAAATTAACAATAGTATAATTGTTGAATTTATCATATTGTGACTCGAAAATTCGACTTGAAATTTTTATTCTATAAAAATTTGCTATTTTATATCTTTAAAGTTTTATATTTATTATCATTTGAATTATATTTTATTTAATTTTTAAAAATGACGATTATTTATACTATTCTGATATATTATTTATATAAAAAATTACATCGTAAATTTTAAAATTTTCTAGAGTTTCAAGGACTAAAAATCGAAACGTCCACTAATGTCACGTGACTGTAGACTCGCAGACCTTGAACCTTAAATGACACTTGATGACTGTCATTCCTCCCATGAAAATTTTAATACTATTTTCGTAACGTTTGTCTAGTAATAGACGTTATTATTTTTATTATTTATGCGAGATTTAATATATTAATAAATATTCTTTTAAAATTGTTTTAACGAAAATGTAAATAAAAATATTGCCTCAAAATTTACTTTTTGACAGCGCTCTCTATTTATAAATATCTTGAAATTGCGAAAAAATTAATAACAGGAGGGAGATATTTGTTTTTGAAAGAAATTTCTTACTAGTCTACATTATTGATATATTTTTTTAAACATTTTGGTGTCGCTGTCCCTAGCTTGACGGCGGTAACATTTTATCGATAATCCGGAACCGCTTCAATTGATCGCGTCTGTCTCGCCGACTGCCATTACCTAGAATTACATCTGTAACTTTAATGTTTATCGCTGGCGATAAAGATATTTTTTGTTATTTCCGGTCATATAGTAATGCGCTTTCTAACTTTTCAAGGTCGCCATTTACGATTCCATTTCGAACACAACCAGAACTGTAGTTCGGGAGGTCACGGCGGGGTTATCGTCCGATATAAAGTCATTTAAGGACGTCTGTCAATTACGCGCAAATTACTTTCGAACGACGTGCTTTCCAAGCGAAACGCTTTCGCCATTTTTTAATTACGCAATTTACGAGGATCGACGATAAATGCCCCCGGAACTGTACGAGAAGTAAAAATTAGATGAACAACGCAGGGGGCGCTTCGACGACAAATTCAAGATGGCGGAAGCCGGTTGACGTTTCGACTTCCCGTCGAAAAGAAAGAACCAGAATGTAGGAATTTGCGTAGAGAAAAGCTTTCAAAGAGGAAGGATCGGAAGATCGGTTGTCGAGGTAAGTGTTTAGAAAAACGTCGTTTAGATAATTAGATTAATGACAGTGCCGCGGATAGAAATGTCATCGTCGGCGATCGGTGCGGATCGATGGAGGACGACCGAGAGAATTTTCTCTCCTCCGTTGCTCCTGTGGAAAATAACAAAACCGCAAAAACAATTATCGCGTGAAAGGTCGTAGCAGAAATTCCGAATTCAGGAGCCGTTTCCTTCTTGCTACGCTTCGAATGCCATCTTAAATAAGAATTAACCGGCTTGGGTAAGATCTAGATCCTCTTTCGTTAAGTCTATTATCACTTTTAAAGATATTAATATAGATATATCTTAATATACCTTTCTTAAGCATAAAATCCTGTTTAAAATACCAATTGTCGATCTATTCCTTTAAAGTTCCATTGACCCAGTAATAAATTACATACGTAGGGGCAGTATATTGTGTAATGTGCTTTGATCTCATTTACTACTTTGTCCAGATAAAATTTAGAACGTTAAATCTGGGATGCTGACATCTCTTACCCTATGACTATGCAAATTCCGCAATGACACGTTGAAATTTTTGATTCTCATTATTAGAATAAAAAGTTTTGACATTAAGTTAATTGAAGGAATAAAAACAAAGATTAGTTCTGTAAGTCATGTTTAGAAATTAATTTTGAATGATATTAAGCAGAAATAATTTATAAATCAGGTTTTAAATAGTAAAATGAGTGTTAAAGAATGGTTTTTATAACTCTGTCATGCTGGAATTTAAGTGTTTTTTTTTGTATTAAAATTTTAGGAATGGAATGTTTGGTCATATCTGTAGAAACTCAAAAATGATTAGTTGTGAAAAAAGTTGTCTTAATTGTTCTATTTTCCCAAATTTGATATCTTGTAGGTTAAATTCGAGAATTGGACGATTTTAAAAAGCCATTCGTAGTGTTTTTATTTCAATTTTGATACGTAAAAATTGTAAAATTGCAGTTATATTAACAAACAATGCTTAATATGCATTAAAAAGGAAGACTTGCATTATTTTAAAATTTATTTTATGAATGGATCATATAGGTTTTGCTAAAGTTGAATGAACTGTTTTGATGACAAGTATAATACAGTCGACCCCCCCGTAACACTGTTGATTATTCTGTTTTATATGAATTCCATGTTGTACGAGTCACTTAGATTTTACAAATACGTGAGCCGTTCACAGACCGACACACACATTTGTAAAATCTAAGTGACTCGTACAACATGGAATTTATATAAAACAGAATAATCAAGTGTTATAGGGGGGTCGACTGTATTTAAATATGATTTTAATATGATTATTTGAAAAATAATGAGTAATAGTTATTTTATTTATTAGTAATACTATATATCATCTTAGCTATGATGCTTTCTCTCTTGGATAATTCCATTAAATCCAAACATCTATTANCCTCACAGGGGAAGTGTTATACATTTATAATAGATACATGTTGAGCCACAACAACACGTGGCAGGGTCTGCTAGTCTAGTATAAAAACACTTCTGAAAATAACTTCTCATGTTTACATTCTTTTATTGGTTTTCTATTATATTTATAATTTTCAGTGATTTCTGATTATTTTTTAAATTTTATGTTGTTTGTGGAAAGAGCTATTGTAAATTAAGTCTTGGTTGAACTGATCATTTACTTCAAATAGGATAGCATCTAAGCCTTTTATTGGAAGATTTCTTTTCAGTTAAGCAAGAAAGAAATAAAAAGAACTATGTTCCGTTAAATGTCATCAACTTAATTTTCATGCATAAATGAATATCTAACTGTGAAGTTATTCACACAAAAAATATTCTAAAAAAATTTTATGTCTTATATTAATAAATTTTATGCAAATATATTGCTGGAAATTAGTATAACAGAATATATTATAGTATATTACTTTTAAAAACAGTAACTAACTGAAAATTCTGTTTTATTTAATAAACATTTTTAATCCTAAAATTAAACCTCATAAATGCTTCAGTTTTAACACTCTCAAACTACTGAGCCCAACTAGATCAATTTGTATAGATGATGCTTTTCAGTTTTTGTACATTATATTATCATCTTTTTAAAGTATTGTAATATTGACATACAATTTCCATAAAACTACAATATAAAGCAATAAAATACATAATTACTGACAACCAGCATGAATTAGATTTAATTAAATGAAAAACAAACATTTTTCTCTTCTTTTTATGAGTTCTAAGATGGCTTTACTCTTCCGCTAGACTTATTACACCATCATTCAGAAACAGGACAAGCTTTAGAAAATCACATTTAATTTCCTAAAGAATGCATTTCTGACTTCGAGTCCCTTATCAACTCTTTGTGATGTAACTGTTTAGAAAATAATGCGTACAAGTTAACATAAAATTTTTAGCACTGTTACAAAATTCGTAAAAATTTTTTAACTTACATGGTTGTGAGAAGCACAGAGATGGTGACAATTGATAAAATACAGATGACCATTATTATTTTACAGGTATTTGCTATAAAAATAGTAGAATGTTAATGATTTACGAGAACAATATATATGACATAGATGTAAAAGTTTTGAACTTACATTAGATAGCAGGATATTTCCTTATAGATTCTTGTCAGAATTTATAAGGAAATATCCTGCTTTATGAGTAACAGGATCACTTACAGGAACCTCCTACTGTTTTTTCTAGTATTAGAAACAATAAGAACCAATTGGAGAGAAATTACATTCCAGGGGAGGCTGCTGAGATGGTTTGGGCACGTGGAGCATATGAGCAATGAACGACTGTTAAAGCACGTCTATGTTGGTGAGGAATGTGGCAAGCATCTTAGGTGCAACCCTCCAAAGAGGTGGACAGATGGTGTGCGAGATGCTTTGATTGCAAAGAATATTCTGAGCAAGTGTGGTTAAAGTCAGCATAAATGTGTACAAAAAGCCTCAATGAACATGGAAGAAGTGAGAAATGTATGTTTAGATTGAACAGTGTGGAACAGCTCATTCACTACCAACCCAAAAGGGAAAAGGCATGAAAATATGTATGTATGTATGAGTTTATACTATCCCTGTACATGATCATAGGGTGAACAGTCCATGTGAATTTATTGAAGCTATTGCTTATGGTCTAAAACTGAGGATCAAGGAGCATAAATACACAATTCAGAAGGGTCTTTTCACTACCACATTAGCTTCTTTGCTGTTGATAATGACGTGCAAGTTAAATTTGAAGATGCCCAGTTACTACAATGCAATGATGACCCAGCCAACCTGAAAGGTTTTATATTAATATTCAAAGCATTTAAAATAGGGACAGCAATTAATTTTAAGGAAATGGACTCACTCTAGCAACTGTGTGGGGGGCATGCTTTGACTTACCATAGGTCTTGTTTTAAATATATAATATATAAAATCAAATATATACAATATTATATTATATACAATATATAAAATTCAAATTAAGTTTGGATTTTATATATTGTATAAACTACGTATTTTTTAAAATTGTTATCCAGTTTGAAGGACCTTGTTAAATGTGACATTGAGCATGTGCATATTTTTAAAAGTGTTAGTTATTAAAAAAAAACAAATTTTTAATAACTAACACTTTTGCCTTTATTAAAAGGTCTTCATCAGAAAACCTTTCATTGAATATAAAAAACATTTATAGAAAGTCTACTGATTGAACATAATATACAAATTTGGAAAATATAGAATATTAGAATGATCTTTGAACAGAATATTTAAAATTTAAATTTTTAATAGATTCATAAAATACTTTAGTTACTGAAATTTTTCATATTTTTAATTATTATTAAGATAAATTATTTTAAAACAATGAATAGAATCTTCTTGGTAAGAATTTTATAGCATATTTGATAAGTTTTTTTATAACAATAATTATTATATAAACTTACTGAACAGTTTAATTCTTAACTTTTCACTTATTAATAGGTAAACAAGTTAAAGAATATTGTAAAAATTAAATTATAACAAGTAGGATAAATTAAAATTAATACATGTAATATCTGTAAAGAGTTACAAGATGTTAATTGAAAACATCTATTTTAGAAAAATATTTGGCAACAAACTTTCATTTATTACGAGAGCAGTTTGATATAAACTGAACTTGAATTAGTAACCTCTAGAGCGACTAGACCAAGCAGATAGGCTACGTCAATCAACTGCATCATTACTCAACCAAAAATTTCATTAGAAATTAAATTACACACAATAATTTGCATTTTAACATGGCAAATTGAATAGTACAATGAAATGATTATCAAAATTAATACTTCAAGTTTATTACATTTAGAATTTTTTTTTATTGTATATTTATATAAACATGTTATTCTTTCAAAAAATAATTTAATATATGATATTAATGAGGTTAAGTAGCATTCATTTGATAGAACATCTGTTATATTTTGAATTTAATTTGCAATAAAATATTTGACAACTTGATATAATATCTAATTAACATAATCTGTATGAAAATTAATCCCAATTTCTATAAAATTGCAACAGTTAATTTTATATTTTGATCTTTGAATTTTATCTAAATTAAAATTACAATTTAGATAAAAATTTGAAGATTAAAATATTATAAAATTCATGAAAAGACTAAATATAATTATGTATATTTAACTTATTCCAGTGAAAAATTTAAAGAAATGGCATTTAAATTGTAATTTTGTTAGTTGAATGTTAAGTATATCAGATGACATAACAGTTGCTTTTAAATTTTGACGTTGGAGAGCAATTTCCTGTTGAAAGAAAAAATTGTTTAAGTTTTTTTTATAACAATAAAGGTCAGTATGAGAAATAAAATTTCAATTTTTATAAAGCATTTACGATCATTGTTTTTTCTCTTTTTTTGAAAATCCATTCAAAAAAATTTTTTTACTAGTATTCAAGAATATTATTAGTGGGGGAAAAAAAGACATCATTAATTAATTAAATTGAAATCAATTGTGCATTAACTACATTTAAAAAAAAAAGCTTAAAAAATTCTTAGAGA